GAAAGAAGTCAAACACACCTAACTATATATAGATATGGTTAGTAAGCTTCTAGGACCTCTTTGGCTCATTCCACATGGCAAGAGGGGGGGTTTACAATAATGTTACCCTCCTGGCCAAGCTATTATTCTCTTATCTAGACATGTAAAAGCAAAATGCCCCCCAAACACCACACAACACTATGAGGTTTGGGTTAAGACAAAAAGTGTGTATAAGCTTAAAATGTAAATAATTAAAACCAAAGAAGAACGAGTACCATGTACAAAAGATATAATATTAGTACCACATGGTGAAACAGAACAGAATTATTTATATTACTTTACCCTTCAACAAAAAACAAAAAACAGACACCAAATATTCTGAAAGCTAAATGGACAATCATGGAAGCTACTCAAATAGCTGCTCAATTATAACGTGTATCTTTTACAGTACTTTAAACATATATATTAGTAATAACCCAATTTATTATAATGCAAATGAGTATACTTGGCTTTATTTTAAGAGCATGAAGTACAAAGTCATCAAATAATTATGATATACACATTCCTGTTTTAAATATTACAAGAAGTAATCCAAAATAATCCATAAAATTCCTATACAGTAGTATACCAGTAATGCTGCTACTTACCGGTGATACTTGAGAAATCATCAACTGCTCTTCTAGATCTTGCACTTTCTTTTTCAGCTCTCTGTTTTCAGTTTCTAGTTCTTGAATCTATGAAAAATCATGTTAAGGATCAGTAAAACAGTAGGCATAATGTCAAAGTTAACAGCATAATGTGGACAGTCAATGATAAATTAAAAATAGGAGAAATTGTCAATAAGGTAACATTAATTCATTAACAGATGAATATAATAATTTTTTTAGTAAATTGCTCATTAAAATGTCCCTTTTCTTAGACTACGCACTTTGTTTGGATTTGGTTTTGATTGTCTCTTTTTTTACAGATGTAATAATTCTCTGCATTTACAGTATATAGTACTTTTCATCCCAAAGTGCTTTGTATGCAGGAAGAGAATTAATTGCTCCACCAGTTGAATAAAAAGGGGAATTTTATGTAGACTAGATTTTACTGTACGTATCCCGGAGTGGAATATTGCCCATGACACCATGGACAAAACAGTATCAGGAGATCTTTAAGAACCCAGTGGTCAGGAACTGAGTTTACCGAAGGACAGGATCTCCTAGACCATAGTGTCCTCAGTCAACAATTTCCTTAGTGGGGAAAATATTTGAAAATTCTGTTCAAAAAGGAACAGTCACCTGCTGGTCTGTAGTCTCTAGTACCAGCAGCATCGTGGTTTTCCTTAGGGGGTCTTACTGTAAACTGTGTTTAATAATGTGCAACTTACTCTTTTCTGAAGACTTCCTATTTGTTTTCTTGTCTCCACATCTTTTCCTCCAGACTCCAGAAATTTCTTATATGCCAAATCAAAGGCCTGTCCAATAGTTAATGTTATCTCTTCAGCCTGAAAAAGAATTGAAAAAAATACTTAAAATACTAATAACCACAACATCTAGTTTACAGATGGATTACTCAGGAAATACAATATTATATTGAACATAAAACTATAATGTTTTTGTACATTGTACGATTAAAGACTACAAACTAAATGTCTTAATTGTGACGTCTGCATAATGATTCTATGAAAATATTCATACTTAACATAAAATATAAACAACTGGTGTTCACCACAAAGCAAATCAGTCAAGTCTGAGGGTTTTCTAAGAATGAAATTTTAATATTAGGAATAACATACATTATAAAACCTATAATACATACATTTACTTAATACTTACACATTTTTCACTGTCAAATACATAGCACAAATGTTTATTTGATTCTGAATCTTTGCAAATGAATGTGAATATCCTCTTATCCGTCTTGTCATCTGCACAGAATGATATTCTGTGCAACTGGCAATTGTGCTGCACATCCTGAAAGAACAATTGCAATTAGGTTATAAATGCTCAAAAAGTGTCAAAATAAATCAGTTTTACAACTGATTTCACAGACCCTGCAATAATTACAAGTAAAATAACATAAGTTGGGTTGGAACAATCCTATTCAAAATATAGATTAATGTTAGTTGTAATTATAGTTACAGTCCCTGCAATCATAAAACCTAGTAGCAAAGGTGTATTCACACTGGGTTCGTTTCAACTGAACTCAATTTGGCTTGTTGAGCTGTTCACAATTAAAATACTGTACCTCAGTCTGATTTTGATTGGAAGTTGCTTAGTTTTCATTTTCTTGTTCAATTTCTTGTTTTTAGGACTCAGTTTGCTTGTGCTCACATTGCAATAATCAAGAGAACATGGTTCTTTTTAGATAAGATGCCTTCTTTTGTAGTTACATCAGAGATCAAGTAATATCTTGAAAGTAAGAAAATGTGTGATACATTAGTAGGGCTCTGGTTATCTTGCCACTATGCAATAGCAAACTCCCTTTTAATGTTTTTTATTTCTTACAGGTTAAATTATTAGGAACAAGGTTCCATTTCGGTTGTAGAGCCTTCTTCAGTTGTGAAGAATTCCTCAGATTAGAAAATTATATTTTATTCAAAACCTGATGCTCAAAATTAAGATGTCTAAGAGAAGCATAAGTTATGTTTACCTACCATGATGTTTGAATAAATGCCATAGCAGTAACATACTGTATATTAATTATATTAACTTTTCTGCCAAGCAATGGTACAAAACGTCCATGAATCTTATACCTAGAATATTTAATATATTGTTTATGTACTGAGAAATCCTGAAAAAAGCTGACTTTGGGGTTAAATTAAACTGTCCCAACAACCTCTTTGACTTTCTTCAAAACTGCAACAGCTCTATAAGTGCTATAAAAAACACAGTGGACAATACTAAATGAGTATGGCTGAACTTACCAGATCCAATTCTCTTTATTGAGTCTTTTTATTTTTATTTAATAAACACTGATTAATGGAAGTCCCAACAATTTAAGAGGAATTCCCATCCATTCTCTTTTAAAGCCACATATACAGTACTTGACAAGGGATGGGGAAAACTGCAGAGCACAAGGTGGATTTCTACACCCTGGATGCTCACAGATACATGGGTAATTTAGACACCAATTTAAATTGCATTTAAACAAAAGCACACAGACCAAACCCATGCATACACATGAAGAATGCAAAAACTCTACACAGAAGATGCCCCATGCTGGAACTGGACCTAGGACTCAAAACTTGAACAGCAGTGTTAACTATCACACCACCATGCTGTTCTTGACAAGAATGTAACATGCAGAAACATACTTAAAAGTTTGTATGCTGCAAGTAAAATTTCAAGAATCCAGATGATTACCTTCAGAAAAACTGACCAGACATAAGACATTACAAATTTTGAATTAGAATTTTGACAAATGAAAAACAGCTCTCAAATCACCACTGAATACATACAAATTGCCTGTTTGTGCAAAGAGCTTTTCTTAATATTTTTTTCCTAGAGAAAGAAAGAGCTATATCAAAATCTTTATACTCCTCATTTAGAAGTGAAAAGAATTATGAAAAGACGCGTCATGAGCTGGAATGAGAAAATAGTAAGTCATCCTGAAGAATTACTCTTTTCACATGCTCCTAATGAGAAAGCACAAGTTCAAAGGTCGATTTAAAAAATTAAGTACTATTTAAACAGTGTAATTAAACACTAATTCTGTATGTTTTCTAGCATTTGTTTAACTGAATCATCCACCCACAATTTGAAAAACATGAACATTGTCTCCAATTAAAAAGTGTTCTTGTTTCTGCATATAAGGTTTAAATAATGTCATATACGTACATTTTATGTAAAAAGGCTAATAAACATTAGAATACACAGTATAAACATTTGTAAACAAAGAACATTTCTATCCAGTGTTATCTGTTGCTTTTATGTGAGAAAGAAGAATACTGTAGCCAGTAAAAATAAAAGCCTTTTCCCCAAGAGTAGTCACATAATGTCATCAAATCCTGAATTGCAGAAATGATACATTATGTATTCTGATGTTGCAACAGACATAACTAAATCAGCTTTTCATGTTAACAATATTAAACATGAAGCAATTTTTAAAAATTGGGCAGGCAAAAAGTTCTAATGTTTTTCGTTTCTGTTGCACAGACATTAAAAAATGAAAATATTAATGAACAATTAAACAAAACTTTGATAGTATTCTGCATTTTGAAGCAGCGTTCCTCTAACTAAATGGTTTTGGGGCACGAAACTTGTACAAAACCTCTCGTTTATATGTTGATAAACACAGGGAAGTTAATAAAATGTATTACAGTATAAAGATATAGTTCTAACATGCTAAAAAGAGCAGCCAACAGCTTGATAACAATTAATTGTTATTCACACCAGCACCAAATAACTAAAATTCAATTTTTGTTCCCTCACCTTGCTGCGAGTTTGGGTAGATAGATAATACTTTATTAATCCCATAGGGAAATTGATGTATCACTGATCATACGCTGTCACGTGATCAGAAATTGTACGAGATAAATTGACACGATTTACAACATTTCACAACATTGAACACTAAGGAAGAAGTATTTCTTTTTATTTATATAGCATCAGCCATCCCCTGACAAATCATCCCGCACATTATGCTTACTGCCTGGGACAATATTGGCATCTTATCTTAATGTAGTCATTGTTCTCATGAATTCATCTGTCAACAGTTTTCTAGTGAATTGCAGGGTTCGTTGCCAGATTATTTAGATTATTTAGTACAGACATTAAAACATTATGCTACAATGAATATTTTTGAAGAATTAAATTTGGGATTTTCTTTTTTTTCTTGCACAATCCAAAACATCAGATACTGTATACATCATGCTGTATATAGCACAAGACTGTATTTATAGATAGATAATACTTACTACTCTGTATATCCTCCACCATTTCAAATCTATATATTTTTGATTTTCCTTACGTTATTTTTCTTCCTATGCAGTTCATATTCTGTTGCACATCATGTTTTCTCAGGGCTTGCTAATCCTATGCATTCCCTTGGGTGAATAAGAGAATAATTCCAAAGATCCAAAGACCTCACCCAGCTGATGCACGGGCTGAATCACTTGGGTTTATTGCTACATTGGAAATTACACAAACCCCTGTAAACAGCAAACAAGATGCTTTTTTTTCCAGATTGGATGTAATTTACAGTAATTCAAGCAGTTGTTTTACCAGTACTTATTCCCACTGTGATATTTCACTTACATTGCGCTTTCTAAGCAACACAAGTGTCAGACCGAAAACTAAGAGAACAAAACGCCTACAAGCTGCACTTCATCATGTCGCTTTTGTCCTTTGAGATTCTCTGAACACAGGGTGGAGCTATCCCCAGGGTTAGTTATTTCTGGTGGAAATAATGGAATGCAATTATCCTTTACTAAACAGTACTCCTCTGTATGACTTAATGAATCCCTGGGTTTTAGAGGTGATCTGGATGAAGCCCATCTGGTTCTCAAAGGCAAACCTGCATATGAAAATATACTTAAAAACATGTGTCAGGCTCAGCTGAATATTCCTCATGGCTGGGAAGTGATATTCAAAACATATCAAGGGAAAATACAGAAGTATTTACTGTTACCACTTAAGTAGGATATTTTTAAAATGTTCTCTTGGTGGAACACCTGGAGATCCAGTATTGTACAAAACAGTACATAACCAAAAGAAGTTAAGCTATAGTTACTTATAGATTTTTAAATGTACACCCTTAATGCAATATTTTAAGTGTGTAATGATAATGCAGCAACTTTCTAGCAGTACATATGTACAGTACATATTCACTTTGGCATCGCCTAGTGGTGATAGTGCCATTCCAGTAATCTCTTATCGCATTTACAGCAGAGTACATTTAGCAATTTACAACAGGTGAATATAGTCTCTCCAGTGCCAAATTTCAAACTGTTACCTGCTCCATACACGGCCATGTTTATGTCCTTTACAGCGATTCAAAGACACAATTTTCAATTTTCTACCTACTTTATCAAATACAGGATTGCTACAAAGTTAGGTTAGCAAGTTCTTTTACTGTAAAACATTTACCAGACAAAACATAATAACATTACAGCACAAACTCCAGACAGTTATGAGGAATAGTGACAAAACCAGTTGCATATATAATAAATCATTTTATGCCAAACGCACATGCGGTTAATGAATATTGAGAACTCTTAACTGATACGGTCATATAAAATCCCCCTGCTTTACGCAATGGTTTGGGCAGTAGCCTCAGTAAAAAGCAGAATCTAAATGTATAATAACATTTTTAAAAATAACAGAAAAGGCTTCCCAGCAAGGCATGCTGGACCACACTGCAAGGTCAAGACCACAGATGCTACAAATACAAAACCAACAGCACTGAGTGAAATGCAATAGTGCTGAAAGACTACCAAGCACTCATATTTTTTCCAAACACAGTCGTGCACCCGCTCATCACACATGTGGACATGCAAAGAAGATGCCCCAGTCCTAGTCCCAGGAGCAGTGAAGTAATAGCACTAACCACCATGCCACCCTGACACCCAATCAAGTTAACATTCAACATAAAACCTTTCCCATAAATACTCTATTTGATCCCAGAGCTTGTGTTTAGCCTCGCTTCTTATTTCTGGTCATTTCCACCCTCCAATGTAAACGTGCATCATCAACCCAGGTCTCAAACAAGCGCTTTTCTGACAGAAATTATAGTAACTGCTAATCAGCTAATAAAGAGATTAAAATATAGTGAAAAAGAATAAAGCAAAAATGAATCTGTATTGTAGTTGTACTAATGAAATCATAAATTGATATATTGTATCAAAAGATGATGTATAGCACGGCATTTTTTACTTTTATTTTGGATATATTTATCAAAATATACCCAATTTTACCAGCAGCCATATCACCCTGCAACTCACAACTGGCAACCCACTGAAGCTAAGCAGGTGTGAGCCTGGTCAGTACCTGGATGGGAGACCTCCTGGGAAAAACTAAGGTTGCTGCTGGAAGAGGTGTTAGTGGGGCCAGCAGGGGGCGCTCACCCTGCGGTCCATGTGGGTCCTAATGCCCCAGTATAGTGACGGGGACACTATACTGTAAACAGGCGCCGTCCTTCGGATGAGACGTAAAACCGAGGTCCTGACTCTCTGCGGTCATTAAAAATCCCAGGGCGCTTCTCGAAAAGAGTAGGGGTGTAACCCCGGTGTCCTGGCCAAATTTCCCCCCTGGCCTTTACCCCATCATGGCCTCCTAATAATCCCCCTCTATGAATTGGCTACATTACTCTGCTCTCCTCCCCACTGATAGCTGATGTGTGGTGAGCGTTCTGGCGCACTATGGCTGCCGTCGCATCATCCAGGTGGATGCTGCACATTGGTGGTGGTGGAGGGGAGTCCCCATTACCTGTAAAGCGCTTTGAGTGGAGTGTCCAGAAAAGCGCTATATAAGTGTAAGCAATTATTATTATTATTATTATTTACATTTTTACCCTGCCTAAAAGCAGGTACTGCATTTGATATTTATATAAGTAAGTTGGAATAACTAAAAAATATGAGTTTTCCACAGGTACTGTACTTATACATATGTACCGACAGTACATAAAAAATACTTTTTAAATGTTGCTGTGAAAAAATGAATAATAAGCAATGCATGGGAGTAATACAAACACCTTTTACAGAATTACCTTTTAAAACACTGGGAACCAATTTAAATGAAACTCAAGTTAATGGATCTTAGTATTTTTTTTTGCCTAGTGAAGATCGTTTATTTACTTATGGTTATGCTATGTGTTCACTTTTTTAGGACACCCAACTCTCTCTACTATTGCACTAATGGGCAGCTGAAACAATACTAAACCATTATAATGTGAGAATGGGAGACAATATAACTTGTTTTGCAATGTAATGGGTTTTGGAAGCTTCTATTCCAACAGTGTAAAGTGCTGCCAACATCAATCTTTTATTTTTCTAATGAATGTTCTTAATTCTAAATAACAGCCTCCAAGGACATTTTCAGTATTACAGCTGTGAATTTTAATACTTATCATTTTTACTTCTCAAAAAGAAAATGCAATGCCATAATTGGAGATTTATAGGAGTTTTGTATGTTCTGGTGTCCAAGTTAAACATCATAAACACAATGTTGTAAAAAATAAAATCAGTGGGAAAGGTTTTCTTTGAGTTTTTATCACAATTTCTACAACAATCATGGTCTATTTTGTTTGTTGAGGCCTAAATTGACATCTGATACTTGCTCTCTGACTGAAGGTCGTGGGAATCATCATGTCCCTGTAGTTTTAGCAATTCAAAACATGGTGAACTTATAAAAGAAAATGAAAAAAAACAGCTGATGGGTAATAAGATCAGCATTAAATCTATAACTAATCACCTAAAACGTAAAGCAGCCAACAGCAATACTTCTAAATTGAACATTGGGGTCTACAGTTTACAGAAAAATCTCAAAGAAAGCTTAAGAGTGACCTGAATGTTTGTGTTTAGCTGTTCTCAACAAAAAGAAATCTGTAAAATGTAACTGCTTTTGAAAATATTTTAAGATGCCTACTGTAATTCAACAATGGCAAATAATAGCTGTCTAAATCTGTCATCTGGATTTGTAACAGCAGGCACAGCTGTTTTCAAGTTCAGATTTTAAACAACTAAGTGAAGGCCCAGTTAATCAAAATATTTTAAACTGTTTACATAACCAAACCCTTGTCCTCCAAGTATTACAGTATATGTCATCCTCATGCTCAAATGTGAGGCAATAACAAGGTGTAGCAGAAACCTTAAAAGGGCCCTTAATAGCTAAAAATATGTCTTGAAATGCCATGAAAACATGGATTAACTTCACTGAAAAAAGGAACCAAATCTTTTTTTAATTTAATAACTGCACATTTGAATATACAATGGAGCATTAAAGATAATAAATCAGGGATGTTCTTGCAATCATTGATAATTACAAATGTTTCTTGTTTACATTTTAAGATTATTACTTTATTGGAACTCTGAATACTTTAGTCAACTGTCATGAAAATGAAGCACCTGGAGCTCTAAGCAAGCCACCAATGTCTAACTGGTTCTGTTAACATTGTTCTGATCTTTGTAAATCTTTTTTATGAAAAAGTATTTACAAAGTATATATCAGAACTGTTGAAAATTCATATGGGAACTTAGTATAACCCTTTTATGAAATATGAAATACCTCAAAATGCCCGAGCTCCTCATATGCCAAAACAATCAATCCATGTTCAAAGGATGGCACCCTACTCCCCATAGTTAAGTTTAATTGATACTGGTTGTTGATAATGTACACTATGAATAGAAAAAAAACCTCTTCATATTAGCTGTAATTCAGTAAATCAATTAAAAATACACTTTCCAAGTATCAAAGTCAGTAGTTACCTTTGTTTTAGTCAGTCAAATAGTCTTATGGAAGCAAAGACTACTACATTAAGCCTGGCAAAAGGCTTAATTGCAAAAGTGTTTTTGTTACCAGGTAGCTTTTTTCTGAGAAACAATAGTATATACCCACATGATGATAATATATATGTTTCATCTAATTATTCTCAGATTATTTACCTTACACGTGATTTTCAGGATCCATTAAGAGACATTTTGTTCCAGCTGGTGAGTTGTCCATTCATAGAGAAGTCAGAAACACTCACCAATTTCTTTATTATTATCTTTTAATTAATATTAAATATGAATACCTTAAGGGAAGTATTTTCAATTATGCTCACTTATTTGTAACCTGTTATCTTTTATAAAATAAAGAGTATGCTGCTATCATGAAATGTAAAATGTACATTTCAGTGTACAGATATAACACTTTCAAAAGGTTGCCGAGCATATATCATAAAAAGCAAAATATTAAAACAAACGTTTTCTTATAACACATGGATGGATAAATGAAATATCTTTTGATCAGTGTAGTTGGAAGTCAGTGAGCTAGACTGTTTTGATCCACTACATCTTTCTGCAATCAAAGCGAATGTTAATCAAACCCATTACCAACATTATAGATAGGTATAGTGTTGTCAGAGAGTTAATGAGTATAGATTCCTTCTGGATATGCCTTGTGCAATCAGAATTTTTAAGAATGTTAAAATCATTGAATGACATCATTCTCATCAAGCCCCCATCTCTTGCACCTAATTTCCTCCTGCTCTTGATTTACAAATTATTAAACTACTCTGTTCAAACAGAAGAGTCAAACAAGCATACAAAATTATACATACAGTACAGTGACCTCCAGATTTATTTATACCAACAATAAAATAAAAACAAAAAACATCACCTACTATAGCAATAAAAATAATAATATATTGCAATCATAATAGCATTACACAGACCAAAGTCATATTTATATTTTTCATAATAAATAACTGAATTACAGGAAACTGCAGAGTCACATTTGTTCACATCTTTAAGTGTTCCTTTAAATAAAACAAAAATAACAGTAACATTCTGCTCTTTGGTGTAAGTGTAAGTCTCTCAATTGAGAAGAGGCCATGAAAGGTTTCCTGCTTCTTTAGGGTATAAAGGAGGTAATAAACAGAAAACATTCATTCATAGCATGAACCACAAGTTGGAGGATGGCATAAGTGAGTCTTTTTATCAAGGTGTATCAAGAGGTACAGTTTGGGAGTCAACTGTAAATCCAAAGGCAACAGCTGAAGAATTCCAATACACAGTGGCATCTCTAGTATACCAAGTGTCAAAAACTACCATTTGAGGCCATATGCAAAAGAGGCAACTCAAACTAGCCAAACACTGTTTGAATGACATTTGGAACAATGTCTTATGGGCAGATTAAATGAAAATTAAGCCTTCTGGGCATGATCATCAGCAATGTGCCTGACATAAAAAGGGTCAAACTCATGGAAAGAAAATGCTCATGCTAACTGTCAAATATGACAGAGAGTCTAAATATATATTACTGTGTATATATAGTGGAGTTAATTTGCATATACTGTACAGAACTGTACAGGTCCTGGAACACTTGTCAAGATAGAAGAAATCTTGAACTCCAATGTGTTACCATGACATTTTGGGCTGACACCTAGTTCTTTTTGCCAAGAAGCTCAAGCTTGGCTGAAAACAGACATTTTAGTATGACAGTGATCTAAACCATACATCCAGATTAACAAAAGAATGATGAGCTGCACATACCTGTTCTTGATTGGCCATCTCAATCTCCATACCATAATCCAATCAAACGCTTCTGATTCTAACTCAACACAGCAGTTCACCAACAGAAACCAAAGTCTGAAACACTTTCTACATTAAATGATACTGTCCATGGAAGAATGTTCATGTATTTCCCCTCTGATCATAGCACATACTGTATAGGAGGCATCTAGACAGTGTAATCCTTGTGAGAAGATGGCCAAGTACAGGTCCATGAATACATGTAACCTAGACTTTAATTACATACAGTATGATAAATACTATTTATGCTAAATGCTATTAATATTATAGTAAACATTTTTAGAAATTAAGCACAACACCCAACCTGTATTACCCAACCTGTAAATGTAAAATGTAATACTGTATGTACGGGAAATTAAAGGTGATGAACGTTTTATAGAGCCCAGAAGTCCTTTGATGTTGTATATTTCAGTTTGTCTTGACAAACTGTCAAGTGAATTATTCTGCCTCTGCATAAAAAAGGTTCTCTACTGACAGTTATACTGAGATCATCCCTATTTCATCTCAAGCCAGAACATATCTGGGCATGAAACATGACTAAACCAAATTTGGTATTTCGGGTAATGCAAATCCAAAATTCAGACAAACATACTTACTTTTGTCTTAGGATCCAGTATTTTCACACCATAAATAGAAATTTGTAATTCCACTTTAGGTGTTTTCTGGCCTTCAGATTTCTTAATATGCCTTTGAAACTATGGAGGAAAGAAAAATAAATGCATTTAAATTCAAAATCCCCAGATTATGTGGAAAGTATTGCAAATTACCTAAGAAAGTTGGTGAGAAAGAACTCCACACTCACAAACTCATATGAACTACACACAAAAGTCGCACAAATAAGAAAGCCAAACTGGTTATTATACAGTATTTATTGTACCACCTCTTTGTGACATTAAGAGTTGAAAGTTACTGTACCTCTCAACAAATGGTTTCAAAGCTACATGCTGCTTGTAACGTGTCGGAGCAACAGAAATAAAACATAGGGTTGTCAAGTGTGGAGTTCAACTTACCTTAGAAGAACTTGAATTCTAGTCAACCTGCCTATTCTTACCTGGATTACAGCTGAACTCCACACTTGAAATCCACAGCCATTGTGGTAAGGACCAGAAAAAAAGGGTGGAAAAAACACACACACAAAGAAAGAAAAGTGTTAAAGTGGGAAGTGCCTGCCAGACATGCTGAAAAGTGGCCATGCATCAATCACAGGGATTGTTATTCAGAATTATTAAAACATGGTTTTAATTTATACACTGATGACAGGGATACAGCTAGTTTAAACTTTCTCAGACATAATCCTCCTTCAGTACCATCACTAGCACAAGTGGTTAGTAGCAATAAGTTAATGTCACTACATACTTTCCTACATTTTAAACTGACATTGCAGGACTGCATAGACTGCTGTTAAAGATGATGTCTAAAACGCTTTGATGTAGTGTTTGACTGTATTAAGATGGTTTGAATGGTTTGCTTTCATTCACCTTATGTGTCTTACATTTAATTCAACACAGTCTCTTTTTTACTTAAGTCAAACCACTGGAACGTGTTCAATAACCAGAGTATGCTGCTGTAGCAGAAGTCTTATTGAACAGTATTGCGATGATATTAGCTGCAGTATGATTTAAAAGGATAATTTGGACTAAGACAGAAAAAGACAAGACTGGAGGAAGTTAAAGACAAGTCTTCAGATTTTATTTGTAAACTTGAAAGTCAGATTAGCAGACCTATCACCTCTCTCCTTAAAGACACACCTCAAGAAGCAGAGGTCCTTGGTTAGCAGCGTTTACAAAGGATTCTAAAATATTATGTAATAACATTTTACAGAGGCTCTGCTAATGACCACTTCCCTAGTGGCATTAGTGAGTGGGTTTACTGAGGTCTCTTGATAATGCAGAAGTCAAAAACAGAATTTGTTTGGCAAAATTGTATACCTTCAGTGAATACCTTTTACAATGGATTGTCAGAAACCACACTATACAGATAATAAATAAATTTCAACCACTCAGCCTTGACAACAGGCAAAGATCAAATACTTAAGTGTAAATTACTTCTGTATTTTAAAGGATACATAATGTATTATACTGTAACTACTGAAAAAAATGAGTCATTTTATCAAGAAGAACTATATAAACAGGACAGAGAACAGTATATACTGGACATTGAAAAAGCAGAAAACCAGCAGACATTACGTAATTTAAATAAAAAAAAAACACTAAAGTTTTCCAAGACTAACATTGGTGCAGTAACCATACATGGTTATTTTAAGGAGCTCTGGCCTCAGCCATTTCAAATGAAGGAGGAGAAAATGAATCAGACTTTAAGGTTTTGCTCAAACCAGCAAATATATTCATTGTAAAAATAAAAGAAATGTACTGCTAAAATGTTAAGGAGCAATTTATACTATTACATACTGATTAACCTTTCCATACAAATATGTAATTGACTGGAAAAGTAGTCAACACTTCCTGTTCTAAAACTGGAAAGAGGGATACTCTAATATTTTAAATACAACCCCTTGAATCAACAGTAAAATACCTGAAAATGTGTTCCTCTAAATCAATACCCTAAAGCTTATAATATATATAAGAAATGAAATATCAAACTACAAATATTGTAATGAAATATAACAATTGCATACATTCCCAATGGGAACAAGCACTTGAAGTTTTATTTGGAATGAAAACATTAATTCTCAAATATACATGTACAGTGTTCTCTTAAATATTTAAATCTTAGTGAAAGGACTATGTTAAGTCACACAGCTAAGGTGTCTCCAACAAGATTTCCATATTTCTATTATATATATTTTTTTAATTCTGGCAGTAATTATGCAATCTTCTCATCTGTAACATTTTTGTGATGATGGTTATTATGGACACCAGGAGCACATGGTGGCAAGATGACAAAAGAAACAAAATTATAGATGCTGTGACAACAAGCTGTAGCGTGCAGCTTTGGCACCAATCCTGCACTGACGACCCCAAAAGTTAAAAAAACATATATGCCTTTGGACTTTTTCATATTAGGTTTATTTTTTTACAATATAGAATCATAATGTATTTAATTTGACATTTTTTGCCATTGATCAACACAGAACACTCTATAACATCAAAGAGAATACAAAATTCTACAGTTTCTCCTAAATTAATTACTTTTTATATAGCAGAATTATATATTGGTATAGCAGAATTATATCTGTAATTATAATTTTTTCCCCATATAATGGCGTGTGGGGGGTTTTAATAAAATATTATACTGTACTCCTTGCTGACATCAATAAGCTAATCACCACAACAATGTTCACTGTATATATTTTATCCAAAAAACTGTTCAATGCATTCTCAGAATCTTATATAAATCGTAGTAGTTAACAAAGGATTCCTGAACTAAAAGATTTATTGGCCTATGTATTTGCAGAAATGAAGATCATACCTTTGAATCCTAAAACAAAAAATAAAGAACTAAATATTTTCCCTGAAGACTACACAAATAAAAGTACAGAAAATTAATTTTAAAATAAAATATTAAGTCCCACATTGTATATGAACATTTTAAATGTTCATTTTAGTATTTTAAATATTTGTAATTTAAAAGTTTTAATAATTGTTGTTAATAGTCACAATTGATCAAATATGTAAAGTTAAAAATATATTAAATCCAATAAAATGTATTTGATATTTTGGCTGTATTTTCTTCCTTTTCATTGTATCATACACGAACAATAATATCTCTAGAGAAAGCAGGCATCTACCACCATCTATTGACTAATCTTGAAATGACATTAGAGTTGTGTAGTTCTTATAAATTCTATTTGGGATGTTACTTTCATAACTGTGTTGCATGCCTTATTTAGTGTAATGGTCTATGTGTGGGTGTTTATCAGATTATTTGTCAAAGAATGAGATTCTCAAATTCTCAAAGCTGATATTGGACAAACGTGTGATAGAACAAAATAAGCCAGGTGCTTTGAAGGTAACTGATGATCAATTAATTTCCTCAAGACATTTTCAGAGTAGTTTTACAGTTTATAATAATCCATCACAATGAAAATAAAGGTTATATAATACCCTCTATTTAAAAAAAACTATCAGAAAAAAAGAGACATTTTACATGCAGATGATTCTTTTATCCAGATGTGTAGCACAACTCCAGTACATTTTTCCAGCGAACAAAAAAATAACAATGTTGTTTCTGGCATCTGTGGTTTCCAGGGGAAAAAGGCCTGTTCTTATGGTTTTGTCACTGACATCAGCTATTTCCTTTTAACAAGTTTTGACATTCATGGCACAGTCTTTACAATCTTATTCAGGCACTCTTTTCTCTTCAAGTTTATTTAACATACCTTAAGTTTTCGGACAGCATCCCTTACGACTTCCGTGCCTTTAGGCTGGTCCACTTCCGTATTTCCAAGGAACTAAAAAAATAAAAAACATTCCTTTATTACAGGATGCTACAGTACCAGACATCCTAAACATGATATGTCTTACATCATACAGTATATCTAATTGAATGGAGGAGGTTGTGTCTGTATTTCTCATATGGTTGCTATTATTTTAATGTTCTAAGAATTCTACTTATACAACTTTCCTAAAAGACTGCATTAACTCCATATGACTTTGGAGTTGGTTCCAGACTTCCACAATCTTCGTTTTTGAAGTACTGGAATTATTAAGGAATTGTTCATCCATCCATCGATTTTCTAACTGCTTTATCCAATGCAGGTTCACAGGGGAGCTAGAACCTGTCCCAGAAAGCAATGGGCACAAGGCAGGATATAGCCTGGGCGGGACCTCAGACCATCACAGGGAACACCAGTACGTACAAACTCACACCAGGGGCAGTTTTCCCAGAACCTACCAGGGCTCCAGTGCAGCAAGGCAGCAATTCAAACCAGTGTGGTATCTAAACTGTTAATGGTTTAGTAATTTTAAATTAAAAGGAAAAAATGTGATGGTTCATTTTTATTTTGTATGTTATGTACTGTATATGACATTTCTGAAAATATATTGAGGTATTTCATCTTTGTCTAAGTATCAGAACTAGTATGTAAAATATTACAAATAATCTGCACCATTTGTTCTGAAATTTACATTCTCTCTTATTTATGTTTAACTTTGAAGGATCAAAACAGAAAAAAATACTAATTCCAATATCTTAATAGTTGTTATCTATCATCTGTAGTCTTCTATACAACAGTTATTACTTTCTAAAATGTAGCAGCGTCAACTTATTTGCAGTGTTATTCATGGCACTGACCATTTTAACTACAGTTTAAAAATTTAATTTGTATACGTAGAAACTGTATGTTTATAAGGCAAATTGAAACACTGGAACACTAAGATAAACATAAGGCAATTTCAGATTTCAGAGGAAATTCACAAAGTACTTAACCTACAGACATATCTACATATTGAACTGGCATACAATGCTTGCTGATTCACGTCAATAAATATGAATCATGTTCTTCTATCACAACATATCAGTTTGCACGGAATATAACTAACACATTTAATCCACCTTTCTTTGCACTACATTTAAATGTGCATTAAAACTGATTTCCTGACCATCATTTCCAGACCAATTTTAACTTATGATAAATGAACACCAAAAAGAGCATCAGAAGGTGTAAATGCACAATACAATTTTGAAACCATTACGGAAAGGGATAATTTTACTTTAAGCTTCCCATGAACACAAAACAATAAGTTATATGAAGTTTACTCAACTTGCAAGTTTCTTTAGTCATCACTTTCTTCAGAATCTACATTATGGTCAATGTCCAACAGATGGCATCATTAACCTTCTTGTTGTTCCATATGTTAGAAACAAAGACAGAAATAGCAAACCTTATGCCTAAGGAAGCCATGGGAGGCATCCCCAAGTCATTAAACACTAAACACTAGCTGAAAGAAATGAACGAAAACAGACAGCAGGCTGTTTGAGATTGTGCCTCAAGGCCTTGGGTTTCTGGTGCTATAATTTCTCTTTTGTAAATGCACTAAAACAGCAGCAGTAAGGATTTGGCTCTGTGTACATAATCCCTTCTACAAAATATAAAAGGAGAATTGAAATGTGACATTCCTTTAGTTCAGCTGTGGTATCTAGTATAATTGTAGGAATGTTTACACAGTGACCATGGATATACAGTACTTTGTCATTCTCATTACTTCTAGAACTTTCCTTCATGAAGTCTAATCAAACCAACGTGCAAAAAACCCAAATGAACTTTCTACGGAGCTCTGGAATACAAACCACCTTCAAGCAGTTTTCATTTCCATTTCACAGTATTCAAAATTTATGAGGAAGACTGACCTGACACCCTTTATTTAAGTGTGCTTTAACCAGTGACAGCACAACACAAAAACTTCATGAGATTTAACACAAATGTCTAAAAAATTACGTCTGACAGGTCTAGAATTTGAGTTCTTGTGTTTTGAGATAATTAAGGAGTAAGGTAAAGAAAGAACAACAATTTAAAAGGGAATTCAGGTTCCATTCAGGGAATTCAGGACATTATTCTGAAATAATCAGACCAGGAAATAATTCTTAGATTGTAAAAGAATCTAAGATTGTAAAAATGGTTAAATTAAGTCATTTTTAGACTATTTTTAAATGTTCAGGCCAATTATGTCATAAAGCCTTTGTCGTGTTTATATTGTTAAAAGTTTATTAGTAGCTTGTTATTAGTTAGTAGTGGTTTGGTTTACAGATGTTCAACACCCACCTCCCAACCCTCAGATTACAATGGTGGACTGGAACACAGGGAGATCCTAAAGCATTGAATACAAATCTTATCCCTAAATAATAGATGCTTATTGTCAAAATGATAAAGCTCAGGTACTACTTGTGAAAGAATAACATTCAACAGTCGATAAGTGCAGCGCCCATGGACTTGAAAACTGCTTATATAGTGCCTATCCATAAGTAGGTGTCACAACTGAACAAAGTAGCTACAGAATAGACTAGTAATTCTACATTCTGTTTCATACAACAATATGGAAATGCTAATTAGAACTAGAAAAGGGGACCTCATACATGGAAAAAATATCCCTGTGAAAAATTAACATGGATTAAAAAAAGGTAGGTTAGGTTAAGTAATTAAGTAATAAGTAAATAAGTAACACGTAACAGCTTTTTGAACAAGCAACAACAGTAATGGACACACAGAACCTATGGTACAGTATAGGTTTTCTGAAGGCTTTTGCTAAAGGTCCAAATATAAGATTAATTTTCCAGACTGTAGTCAGTATACATAAAACATAATACATTTATTTGGATGGAGGACTTGTTAGTACCACAAGGATCTGTACTTGTACCACTGATCTTCCTAATTTATCAATGACTTAGCTTCTGGTACAATCTATTCAAGGTTGCAGAAACCATCAAAATAAGAAAATTAAGAAATGCTGTAGAAGCAGCAAATTCAAGATACCTGACACATGATATTAAGGGCAGATATCAAATGAGCACATTAAGATAATAAAAACATAAATGACAAATACTATAAAAATAGTAAACAGATCTTAAAGAGATGAAGATACTATATATGAAAAGGACTGAGGTACTGTTGTTGACACAATAGTATCTTCTATACAATGCGGGGATCAAATAAGAATCCAAAAATGTTTGAATATATAATTAAAAGCACAAAGTTTAATTCAAGGGATGTCATTTTAAAATTATACAAAGCACTAGTTAGTCTACATTTAGAATACTGTGTAAAAGTATGGTCACAATGAAACAAAAAAGAGATTGCTCCTACAAAATAAGTCTAGAGAAGAGCAACCGGACACATTTCCAAACTTAACGAAATGTCCTACTCTAACGAGCTAAAAAAATGTAAGCTTTTAAGAGTTGGTCAAAGACGATTATAAGGGGTATTGTTTCAAGTATTCAGAATTCTTAAAGATCAACATAGTCATAGTCAACTAAGTTGAATTCTGAAAACATTAACGATGGAACGCACACTACGGACACAAGTGGAAACTACTGTATGTGGAAGTACACTGAAAACCGTTTAAAAGTGTGGGAGTATGGAATAAACTACCCAGCCATGTTGCTGAACATGATACAGCTGGATAAGACCCTTTGATGACTTAACAAATGCACTGAAAACTCTGATGAATTCCATTATTTTTATAATTCAATAATATATGAAAATTGATAGAATAATTTTCCAGAGCGCATGTACCTACAGCACTAACAAACAAATGGGCATTTATTATATACAGTATGGCTTCTTCTTAAGCTGACTCCCATAGATAAGGACAAATAAGCTTTTTTCCCCATCCTGCTGTCTATATCCATTGTGGGGTACAAATGGAGATAACTATTTAAATATACAATCTGAATCAATACATATTCATGAATGTCAAGTGAAATATTTATTGTACACTTGTAAAAACTGATTTATATGTGATTTAATATGTGGAGCGTGACAAATGGTCTTCTGATACAGCCAAGGTTTTGAGTCAAAGCTAACTAAAAGAGATCTTCTCCAGAATGTATCACACATTAATCGTTTTGGCTTCCTTTAACAGAAATGCTTGAATGTTTGAATAAGTGCAAGTATAAGTAAAATTAGATACCGTTGTCAAATATGAAGAGATTAGAAAACACTATTTAAAACACTTAATAAACTGGCACATTATATTGTCAGAGCAAATGTTTTCAGTATGCTGAGTCTGTGACTGTTTTGAAGTTCAATATCCATTTTCATCGGTGCATGACTGTCTTTAAAAACCACTCTAGGCAGGTAAAGGAGAAGCAACCCAATCAACCTGCAGGGATAAGACTTTCTTTGTCACTGTAGCTGATAATACCTTGAGACGAAAATTGTTTTACAAATAGAATGCAATTATTGCCCCACTCATGACCATACCACTTGTGTTTTCACTACAGATGAGTATGCATTCAAAAGATACTTTAAAAAAATGTCAAATGCAATCACTTCTGCAGAACTGATATTTTTGAAATAGCACAAATCAAAGACAGCAAAGAATCAGGACAATGGACATTCAACACAGGATAAATAAGATAAGTGAAGGCAAGAATAGCTGTGTGGTAAAAGAAAGGCTTAAATATCTGCGACCAATCTACTGACCACCTCGTTGCTACGAGAGATTTATTGTTCAAACAATACAGCAACTATCACACCGCAATTCCTAACAGTATTTTATTGTAAGATGACAGTGAGTCAGTCCTATGTTAGCCTTGAGCTGCAGGATGCAATATGATTAATAGAAAAGGGGAGTCTTTCTGGGATCACTTAACTGCTCACACACCCCTGGACCTGGTTATTCAGTTAGCTTCAAAACAAACAATTACAAAACCTAAAAATAACATTTTAAAGTCTGAAAAAGTTGTGAACGGCTTTATACTCTTTTTTTAGCAAATCTCATATATGTACTGCATTTATTCATTTTTTATTTAAAGCACACCAACAAAAATAAAACCATTCTGTAAACTATCATGGTATTAATGTTATCAGGTTCTTTTACAAAATCCTCAATTTTCTGTATTCTGATGGATGAATGTAAAATATTTGTACTGCAGTATTATATCTTTTCAGCAGGCCTATTTGGAATTCCAAATATTTGGGTATTTTTGGTTTTAAATTACTTGATGTCTGTAAGAAGTGAAGAGCATTCATTTGTGATTATGACTTGACTGTCTGGATTCCAATGTGTAAAAAGAGGTTTTTTTCCTGCAGTTTTCCCAACATCTTCTATTAAGAATAAAAGCCATTACCTAAGAAATGTTTATTTTTTACTTACAAAAAAAAAATAAAACTTTTTGGACAGGACACTGTACTGTATATAATGCCTATATATCACTGTTATGCACAATTTATTGTTGTCAAATTTAAATTTTCTTTAGTTCATTTGAAAATTAAATATAACATGAAGACAAAATAATTAGAAAGTATTAAAATCCATGGTAATGAAACTCATAATGAAATGGCTATCCTGTCAGAATGCCCACTTTTAACTTTTAACATAAATTATGTCTATAGTGTCACTGTCATCTGTTAAACTCACAATGTGAATTGTTCAGAAATGCCATAACTTAAAAGGAACTACGGTATTCAGATACTGTGGCTTTGTTTCCATTGGATATCACATGCAGTCTTGATTCTGAATACTTCATATGAAGCCAAGTGCAGCAATACATTTGAAATGATTTCCTGATGTTATACTGTACATGGTGCTTGAACTGTCCCCATGACTTTCACTGTTGAGCACTCTAATTGTTCAATTGAATACAAGTCACACAGCACAAATTCTGTATTGGCACTTACAGTAAATTAAAACAAAGTATAATTTCCTTAAGGATTTTATGTAGCACTACCAGTGTTTTATTTGAAATAAAATGCCACTGACAGGTCAACTCATTTGACTGTGAATGGCATAGACCATATTCTGCACCATTATTCCATCAAACTGAACTGATGAAGAGAAAGAAAGTTTTAATTTGCAATACATACCTTAGCATTGTATGCTATATAGTGTTTTGCCAATGCTTCTGGAGTATGCATCCATGTTTTATCTGCAAATAACAGGAGTTACATTTCAGAATGAATAGTAATATTTCTTCAGTTCACTTTAATTCAAAAGAACATATATTTTAATTCTAAATATGTTGGTTTAGATATAAAAAACAACTTATATATACTGTAGTATTTGTGGTTGCTTGCATTTTATGAAGGTCCCCACAAATTTAGTATATGCTGGATAGCATGTATACTCCAAGAAAGTATACAAAATGTCAACATTCCAAACTACACAACTATTAATAAATGTCTGAAATGCCAGTTATAAAACACTTGACTTTTTTATTTTGAATAATTAACTTATAAATGCAACATTCACCCCTTTTCAAATACAGATAAATATACTGTATTTGAATAAGCACATCTGTCAGAAAAAATACTCAAAAGATGCTTATGAGGTTAATACTTCACTTTAAGCATACAGTTAAAGAACTAATGCATGAGGGATTTTAGAAGAGAAGGATGATAATTTAGTGACAAATACTATATGTGCTACATTAAGTATTAAGAAATGCTTAGCTAAAGGGTCCACATTAATGGACCGTACTGTCCATGAGACATTGTTATGACTGTCAAAATTCAAAACTTGAATAATGAGCCAAGAAACTAGTTTGCTTCACAAGTAATTTACATGTTCACCATTGTACAGTTTTTCCAGCACTAATGTCTCCTTGATGCTTAAAGCAAGCATTAAATCAAATTCTTCTGGTTCTGGAATGGCCATGACAGCACCTTAATCAACATAATGACTCACCAAGAGTTCTGCACAACTCTAGTCAAGTCGTCATGTCAACCTGCTAATTCTATACTATTTAACTATTTACTACTTAAATCATTCAATAATCAAATATTCCTGTTGTGGTTCCTTGAGGGTGATAAATACAAAGGACAGACATGAGTACACATGAAAAGTGTTTCTGAGAAACTTATTTTCAAAATTGGTTTTAGAAAAATTTGTGAATGTAGTATAAATTATCATTTGTTTTCATAATGATCAAGCTGTTTGGAAACTTTGCTTTGGCTGTGCCTTGAATATTAAACAGATAATAAATCTTTATAATCACTCTTTAATGCGTTGTCTCAAAAGTAATGCACCTGAATATAACCACTTCTCTGCATAAATTACAGAAAAAATACTGCAGTTGTTCAAAAAGGAACACAAAAATCTCTCATTACTCAATGTTAGCACAGCATTTGATAGAAGGACAATATATTTTCACTATTTCCCAAGACAACACTTACAGTAAGTGCTTTTATGTCCTTCTTAAACCATCAATACCATAATACATGTATAATACAGAAAACTGTCTGAGGGGGACCATATTATTACTGGACTGCAAAACATCACTGACCACTGTCCATATCATCAAATAAGCTGATTAATTATTCAAAGTAATGTAGACGTGAATGAAAAAGCAGACCCTTTAGACCTCAAGGAGAGGATTTAAAGAAAGTTTTGGTACCATTTGCTACAGTCAGGTGTTTTATTGTTTCATTAAGATCGGTAAGTAAACTCTGTGTGTATATATTTCTTGAAAATGATCAGAAACGGCAATTTCCATTCACTGTCCTTGTCATATCAATGGATGAAATCTGATTGCACCATGAACTATAAAATTAGTCTGGACACTGACTCCCACTCTGTAGCATTTTGCTTTAAGCACATCAATTCATCAAAGTCTGAAATGCATTACATTTCACATTTGGTAATTCATCTTCAGCCTTTGTCAGCTCCTTTGAAGGCTACAGCTGTTCTGTATGAGTAGTAAAGGTTATAGGAGTTGTAGGAGTTTTCCCCACTGAAAAGCCATTTTAATACATAGATTGTACAATTGTAAGATGACTAGCGTTTTGAGAAATGCTTTGCATTTAGTTTTTTAATCACTTGAGCAATAAAAATGTAAATCTTAATTAGTTTTATATTACAATTTTAAATGACACAAATAACTACTGTAGATAGAGGAAATACTGCAACTTACAAGTGTAATAAAACCTAATTTAAATGATTCAAAAGTCCAAGACCTTTCAAAATTAACTTTTACTTAAGTATTATTATTAAAAGCCCTATACCAGTACACATTAATTTCATTGTTAATACAAAAAGGAACAGATTCTGCACTTTTGTTCCAATATATTTCTGGCAAACATGAAAACAGTATATTTACATTGTTCTTCATCACACGTTTATTTCCAAATTAAAATTCAATTTAGAAATCTCTATTTGAAGATGGATCAATACAACGTAGAGTATAACGCAATTATGTCTTACAATACACACTGCGCTTGTCAGGTATACTGCATCTGCTAACTGAAGTATAGTACAGCTGTCAAACATCAAAAATCTAAATCAGGTTAGACTAAACTACTGTATATGGGTTTTAAGTTTATCCCAGGGACACATTTAAAATATCTGAAATCTGAAAAAGTATTTTCCCCACTTTCCTGTTAATAACAAGATACTGAATGCATTCTTTTTATATCGTTTAATTTTTTTTTTTCTGTTAGGAAAAATTCAAAATGTTTTGAACTTTTAATGTGTTCTTGGCAGGTTTAATGCCTAAATACTAGCCCACTACTACACTGTTATCATAGTTCAAGTTCAATTTTCAAAGCTCTGCTCAAAAGCAAAACCTAATACAGAGGTTTCCAATGACAACTGTCAACTGTTTCTTACGTTCATCTAGATCTTTTCACTGTTTATGATGCTGTTGTACATTTGGTTGACAACCTCCCCTACGTTTCAAGCAATACAGGTGCTATGGTCACCTAGGTGACATAACTGAAGTAATTCTTCATCCGATGTGTCTGCTGCAGTTAGACTGTCAGTTATTTTTTTTACCAAAGTATGAAGCTTCTGAAAAGTAATTATTCCTGAATGAGGTGTGTAGGCAGTAGGCCTACTGCTGTAGGCAGTGCTTCTTTGTGTAAACAGTTACACCTCCATTATTGACAGAGGATTAAACAGCCAAGGTAGTCACTCCATAATGAAGTGAAAGCAACTGAATTTGAGACTGTGTTCAAAAAAGCCAAAGCACTTACGTATAGTATTAAATGGAAAATGAGAAATACTTATTGTCCTGTAAAAAGAGTTAGAGAGGTATCGGGCTAAATTCACAAAGATAAAGAATGAGAAGAGGCGATACAACCATTTAGAACTGCTTCATTAGGTCACAAGTTATTTCACCTGACATACCGTATCAAAATATTTTAATACAATATACAGTGATGCCACATGCGGCAGGTCACAACAGGGGCACTCAAAAATAGGCGGGTCCTGACAGACACATCCCATGGAAGTTTGTAAGATTTCTAGTAGTGCTCTTTTATTTATGATGAAAAAAAGAGGAGTCAATTAGCACTAAGAAAATAAGCTAAAATAAAGCCTAGCTTGTTATTGAGCTCTTACTAAACTACCAAAAGACATTCCTTCACAGACAATCAGACAGCTAAGCTGCTTACCAGCATTTTATAGTGTTTTACATTTGCATATACAGTACATGTGCAGTAAAATAAAATTTAAATAACATAAACCATTTTCATAATCTAAACATCATCAAAGCACACACATTTTATTGTATGAAAAATGTTTATCACAATCCCCTTGTATCTCTCCTTCATTGCTCAAGGGCTTACATTTTAACATTTCATTGCTGCTGTCAGAAATGTCCAAATGCTAAGCTTAAACATGCACCAGAAAAGCAGTGACTGATGAAGTAGATTTAGAAAGATGCAGCCTGTGTATTACAAGCTAGTTTGGTTTGAAATTGCTTTTCTTACAAACCACCAAGCGAAAAAGGTCTCAACTGCTTAGAATATGCCTTGTGATAGACAGCTGATGTGGTTATAAGAAATTAAAGGTTTCCTTGCCTCCATTTTTAATTTTAAGCTCAGATGCTCATGCATTGATATCATGACAAAACATAACGGACATCAAAAGAAAGATTCCATATACTTCACAGTGATTTATTAGATTACTGAAGCCTGAAGAAATGTTCAGTAGTAGCATTAAGGAAAGAGTGTTAGTGGCAAAGAGCTTACTGGCTTGTTTAAACAAGAACAAAGGTTATTTTGTGTCATGAACTTTGTTCACTCAAATGAAGAACCAATACAGCTTATATGTAACAAAGAGTATCCCACAGTAACTCCTCAACATCTTACTTTTGCAGTTTTTACAAGATTTGTCGGGTAGACTTTAACATTCGAATGGGAAGGTACTGTAATAGGGTTGATTATAAAATGCAATGAATGAAGACATATTTGCAGCAAACTGAGTAATAAAGTCTGGTAAACATGGAATGAAAGTCTTTCAATTTTCAGAACATTTTCAGTATGTGCAAATGCCAGCTTGTGTGTTCTGCTTTAGTTTAGTTTTTATTTTGGAAAAATGTCACATTCAACATTCAGAATTAGTTTGAGGAATTAAATATCCTTGCAAACATATCAGGCATACAGTATATATCAATATATAAATAAAAATATTTTGATTTTAGAATGAACAAAATATAATCAGTTCATCTTTGCTTAAATCATAAAATAAACTGGTTTACTGCTTTAAAAGTGGATCTAGGATTCCCAAGGGTCAGCAGTAGTTGTGCAGATGTGCATTCATTAATTTATACACTGCAAAAAAGACTTAAGAATTTCTTAATATTCTGCAATTTTCCAACACAAGAGAGCTGTTATTTTGCAACAACTACTGCTTGACTGCTATATTTGTCAAGAAGGGGTTAATTTTGGATACAGTTTAATTACTTGGGGACTTCCAGACAAATTATAATGAAATGCTTACAGCTCACTATGAATATTTTTGTAAGAAATATGATGGGAGCCAATTGCAAGATATTGTTTTGAATGAAAAGATTTGGTACTTTGTAAAAAATGTTTTATTGAAGTAGAGCTTTGATCAAGGACAGTGTAGTATTTTGTTGTAGTCATTGTTTGATTTAATGCATTTATTGATTTTTAGCAATACCTATTACCCCACTAAGAACTGGGG